TAAAGTAGGGTAGATTCCGTTGTGGAAGCCATAAGAATTCTTTTAACATCTCTCCGGTGAAAAACATTTAATGATGTGCTTACTTTAAAGCAGAATTTTAATTTTTCTCTGCAACGTGTTCTCAAAGAGGGTTGTTTCCAGTGCTTGCTTTATAAAATTTTAGGTCCCGGAACGTGCTCCAAATTAATTATTAATTAATAGAAATAGTTATATATTTGTAATATAATTTGACAATTATAAATTACATTTAATAACAATAATAATATCAATAATAGGGGTAGCCCCCGCTCTACGGAAATTTAATAATAATGATAATAATAGTAATAATAATAGTAAATAAAAGTTAGTTTGTAAAATTCTATTACTTTTTACTAATAATTTTATTACTTCGTAGAAATAATATAGTTAAATAGAAAATTCTTTAATTTTGAGTTTGCGGAAAGTCAAGTGTTTGTCCTCTGCCTTCTCTTTGCTTTTTTCTCCTATTTCGGCCCCGATGTGCGAGCTCCTATATACAAGCCCCGATTGTTCGGGAACGTCGTTTCGTCACGTTCCTCCGGAAGTCAAGCCCTGGTTGTTACAATTGTAGATAGTAAGTAAAAACAGTGCTATGCGCCAAGAACTGAATTCCGAGATACTTATAAAAAACTATTTCAAAAGCTCGCAGGACTTGACTGATTCGCAGTCGAATGGCAACAATTTGAAACCGTAAGAATGAGAATTTCAGGTAGCCCATTTTACATCGCATTGCGCTTGACAGCACGATTTTCAGCACACAATGCCAATTTTCACCCTTTGACACTTAGCCCGGGTTTCATTTATGCTCTACAATTGTTTTTACAGAATAAGTGAATGCATATTTTAATCAAAGTATGTCACTCCAAGAAGGTATAAGAATTCGCTTTTGTAAAAAGTCACTGAAATATAATTTTATTTAAGTGAATTTTAGTCGGTTAATAATAAAGAACATTCTACTTTCTTTCATTACTATCGATTATTTAATATGAGAGCTCGTAGACAATAAATATGAATATGATTTAAATAAAGTAGTGTTGTTAATAGGCATCTTCGGTTCATTTTTAATTAGGAACTTCTAGAAAACAGCACATTAGTTGGAATTCCGCCCACTTTTAGGGGTCTTCGCTTCTCTATGAGTTAATCCCACTTCCTTGGTTTCTTGGCAAGACTTCGTGAAGCGAAGGAATCTAGAAAAGGCGTACCCACCTGCCACAGCGCTGAATATAACCTCTCGTGTGCAGTACTTCTCCTTGTAAACCTGCCCTGTTTTTCCTTTTCTTGGCTTCCTTGCTCGTTTTGTTCTATGTCCTACTTCGACGGTCTTATGCATTTAGAAACTTTATGGCCATGAACGTTATAGTCTCTGCTGGTATTTTATCTCCTTGTTGTTTGTTTTCTATATTACAGCATTGGTGTTGCGGATTCCATTTATAGCAATCTCTCACTGTTTTCGTTCTTATTCCTGAACTATATTTTACTTAATAAGTCCACGACATCATCGTACTGTCACGTTACGCTGTAGCAGCTCTTTCTTTTATATCAACATTCTTCTGTTCACCTACCATGAAACTCCTTGCTACCACACAATTTTATCATTTTGCAACATTGCATAAATTTTTTGAACTCTGCTGGAAAACCAAACTATTTTATTCTATTCTATTTTCCGCGAAGATGTAAATGATTTGCGCGGTCTCTTTTTACTCATTCAATACGCATGATGGATGATACATATTTTGCAAGAAAGTCAGAAATTTACCAATTGTTTATAGGTATTTTGTTTCTAAGCCCCTTGTGGTTTTCTAAGCTTATTCACACACGCAGTCCGTATTTGTATGAAATGTCGACAGAAAACTCTTCTTTGCTTAATTTTCACTCCATATCATAGATTTGTGCTTTGCGAGAAGATTCCACATCTCTTTCTTCCTATATCCTTCCTAAGATGGTACTATAACCACGGTATATGGATCATCTCTCACAATAACGACAGTACGTAAATGGGGAGCTAAACGCTTAATCACAATAACGGCAGTACGTGAGTGGAGATTATAGCTCTAGAGAAAGAAGTCTTCACCCAATTCTATCATATAAGTCAGATCCTTCATCTCTCCCCTTTGATGTCTACAAAAATTACCCTCACAAAACTAGAATCAAAAACAGATTTCCATACCACATTCATCTCATTAAATTCGGCAATTTGTGTTGTTTAGAGAGGATTCTCAATAGTTGTTCTCAATCTGTTTAGGTTTAAGTTATTTTAAGTAGCATTGAAAATTAGACAAAACTTACTCCACTTATGTATAGTTTCCCTGATATATGTAAACCCAAACAAAAAATGAAATTAAAAAAAACGATTTTCAGGAAATCAGTGACTAAAATAATAAAAATGATCGACCTGTTTGTAATGTATTTGAATATTCCATTCAGTTCAGAAACTAGAATTGACTATTTTCACGTTATGCAGGATATTTCAATAATCAGACAATATATCAAAGGTGGGAATGTGCGAGAAACTAAAAGCTTGGTTTTCTTTCATTTCATACTCTATATAAATTTCTTTTACTCTTTGTATTTCTTACGTACCTCGAATGCCTGACTTCTAAAGGAAACAGCAAGTCTGATAAAACTTTAATATTTCCTAGCATCTACTTTCTGTTTGCCATACTCCTTTAACTCCCCCTGAGATTCAGGTCTCAATTTCTGGCGGGACTATTGTTATGTTCGCCTTTCCCCTTATTAATTTTTAAACATATTATTATTATTATTATTATTATTATTATTATTATTATTATTATTATTATTATTATTATGTTTTTGTATTATATTCGTTGTTTGTAAATTAGGTTTTTAGTATTTTGTACATGATCATTTCATATTTTTTCGCCTTCCATTTCTTTGATCCTATTTTCTCTCTCTTATCTTTATTTTTTCTTGCGCTGCTCCGTGAGAATATAGTAAGTCTTCTTTTCTCTTGTAATTCCGTTGTTCATATAATCCACATATTTCATTCCCCTTTCTTAATCCTTTTTTGCTGTAATCTCTGTAGTTCATGAATTGAATCATTATTAAATTTTTATCTAATTCTTCTTCCTTTTCCATTTGCTGTTCTCTTCGTTTCTCTTCTATTCTTACACGGTGGTATACAATTATTCTTTTGCATTTCTTCTCTTCTAATTTTTATTCATATTTTTCGCCCTTCGCCTCCTTCCCGGCGTTTTCTCCCTGGAAGAGTGCGTCGCCTTCGCGGGTCGTGGCTCCGCTGCCCCGCCCCGCCCCGCGTTCCCTTCTCCGCCTCCGCCTCTGCCTCCAGGGCCTTGGGAGTCGCCGTGGCGCGGGGCCTGTGAATATGCAATGTCGCTGTCTCATGAACACCGCCCGATTCCTCCCGGGGAGCGCCAAAGGAATTTGTATAATAAATAACGACAACAGCTTAGGAACGCGACGCCCTCCGCGCGGGCGGCGGCGGCGGCGGGAGCGTGGAGAGGAGGGGTGGGGGCTACGGAGCGGGGTGGGGAGGGAGCGACAGATTGGCGGGGAGTGAGGTG